GCTACAAGGAAGGTGGAGAGGGTCTTTGGACAAGGGCGTGTAGTGACAGGACACGGGGCAATGGCTTGAAACTGGAAGAGGGGAGACTTAGATTGGATCTAAGGAAGAAATTCTTCCCTCTGAGGGTGGTGAGGCACTGGCACAGGTTGCCCAGAGAAGCTGTGGCTGCCCCATCCCTGGAAGTGTTCAAGGCCAGGTTGGATGAGGCTTTGGGCAACCTGGGGTAGTGGAGGGTGTCCCTGCCCATGGCAGGGGGGTTGGAACTAGATTAGCTTTAAGGTGTCTTCCAACCCAAACCATTCCATGATTCCAAGGATGCCCCTGCAGAGCCCACCTCTGCCTTCAGAGCAGCGTCACCTTGCGAGAGGTGTCTCTCCTTGAGTCCATGCCAGGACCCAGTTTGCTGTTCCTGCCAGGGCTGACAACCTCGTCTCTGCCTACAGGTCAGCAAAATCAGCTTGGTGGACCTGGCAGGGAGCGAGCGAGCCGACTCCACTGGCGCAAAGGGCACAAGACTAAAGGTGAGAGCTGGCGCGAGGTCCCCTTCTGCCGGTGGGGATGCCGTGTCCTGCCCTCTCGTCCCCAGCTGTGACATCTCTTTTCCTTGCCTAGTTCCTAGCCCACTATGCTGCCAAAATCCTTGACAGGGTTTTGTTTGAAAGCTGCCCAGTGCCGCTTCCACCGGGGTCCATGAGTCCCAGCTGGGAGGTGCTGGTTACCCAGTAAGACCAGCTGCTCTTTGCCTACCCCATACTGGGACTTTCCCATCCCCCTGGTGCACTGGGCTTTAGCGCTGCTCTGAGATGGGACCTGAGCATCTGGACTTTTCCTCTCTCCACCAGGAAGGAGCAAACATCAACAAGTCCTTGACTACGCTGGGGAAAGTCATCTCCGCCCTGGCCGAAATGGTAGGTAGCCGGAGCGTGGGGGAATGGGCTCAGCTCATGAGCTCAGCTCCGAGGCGTGGAGCATCCTGGCCTCGAGGGACAGGCAGATACATCCCAAGCTCTCCCTGAGGCTGGGACAAGCTGGGTTGGTGAGGCTTCTGTCTCCCTGGGGACTTGTGCCTGCCGCTTGCTGCTTAGAGGACGGGGTGGGCGCCAAGGAGGGGAGCAGCTCACTGACACGGTCTGTCTGCTTTCCTTGCAGGATTCAGGGCCAAACAAGGTAGGTGCCCTGGCCGGGCTGGGGAAGGTGGGGGTTGGTTTTTAGCCCAGGTGGGTGGGAGGGGGTCACTGAGTGGTTTGGGGGTGAGGCTCTGTTTTCTGGGGGCTGGCAGAGCCCTCAGCGTTCTCTTCAGTACCCGGTGTTAAACACCTGCCCAGCCCAGCCAGGGCATTCCACAGGTGGGACCTGTGGAGCTGAGCAGAGCTGCCCAAGGTTGCGGTGGCCTGGTAGAACTGTCCTCCCCCGATTCCTTATGGCTGGGGACTGGCTGTCACCTCTCCTTGGAAGGGGAGCCTGACAGCCCTTCCTTCTGCTCTCCACCCCCCAGAACAAAAAGAAGAAGAAGACGGATTTCATCCCCTACCGGGACTCGGTGCTGACCTGGCTGCTGCGGGAGAACCTGGGTGAGGACACGGGGGGGAGCTGTGGGGGTGGCAGGCGTAGGCACTGAGCAGAGGGCGACGGCTGGCGCAGGGACCAGCGTCTCCCTGATGCATGTGTATCTCTCTGGGCAGGGGGCAACTCCAGGACAGCCATGGTCGCTGCTCTCAGTCCTGCCGACATCAACTACGATGAGACCCTAAGCACTCTCAGGTAGGAAGAGCTGCCATTGTCCCTCCCCAGCGGGCAAGGGCAGGGGAGTCTCTGAAACCCGGGCACGGCCATGTGCTCTCCTCACCTCTGTGGCTCCCTGGCTGGAGGGCTTTAACCCCTTCATTGTTGGATAACGGGGATGCTGTGCGGGGACCCTGCAACCTCAGACAAGAGGCCGAAGGATTGTCTCGGGGCTGGGATCC